CACACTCTCTCTCTCTCTCACACACACACACACACACACACACAGACAGACACACACAAACGGACACACACTCTTACTCTCTCTCACACAGACACACACAGACACACACACACACACACACTCTCTCTCTCACTCACTCACTCTCTCACACACACACACACACACACACACACACACACACACACACACACACACACACACACACACACACACACACACACACACACACACACACACACACACTATCTCTCTCTCTCTCTCTCTGTCTCTCTCTCTCACACACACACACACACACACACACACACACACACACACACACACACACACACACACACACACACACACACACACACACACACACACACACACACACACAGATCCTGTTACCTCCTGTAGTTTTTGTTTGTGAAGCATCTCGGCCTCTGCCTCCTGTTTCTTCTGCTCTAGCTGCGTCAGAAAGCGACTCTTCATTTCCCTCAGAGGTTTCACTGTGTATTTATTCTCCTGCGGCTCCTCCTCGGAGATCTTGCCCTGCAAAAACAAACACAAAGCACAGCCAGGCAGACGCACACCTTTGAATCACCGATGTGTCTGAACAGCTGCTCTCCTTTTTTAATGTACCGTTTTTTAACCCTGGAACCTCGGATAGCACTGACCTTGACCTGGGTGTCCAGCAGGGGGCACTCCTGCAGGCTGCGGTCCATCAGACACATCTCTCTCACAGCGTAGCCGCTGACACAGTAAGCGTCGTAGTGGTTGCCGAGCAGCAGGCTGCACAGCAGGGTGGCGGATTCAAAACATGTGGCACTCTGATTCTGCAGCACTGAGCTGGAGGAGAACAAATACCTTGGCTGGGACAGAAACACACGGAGAGATCAGTGAGGGGCCTAACCTAATGGCCACAACAGATCCCTGCGCCACAACTTCTGTATGCACCTACTGAAGATGTTCTGTTCACAAAGAGACAGATAATTACCACAAAAAGTGGAAAAATACAAAAAAGGGGAACAAACGACTACAGAGATGCAAAACAAACAAAGAAAGACGAAAAAAACAAAGAAACGCGGACACAAAAAACAAGAGATACAAATTTTTTTATCAAAAAAAGCAAAACAAACACAAAAAACACACAGTGCCTACAAAGAGAACAGAAAAACGAAAAAAAAATGTCTAGGAGAGAGACACAAAAGGACCTCAAACGGCCTGAAAACTACCACAAAGAGGGACAAAATGTCTATATAAAGATGCAAAACAACCACGAAAGGAACAATAACAACAACAGACACAAAAAGACAACAAAGAGGAGCAACACGAAAACACTAAATGATATCAACCATATTGGCCCCTAATTTTTCAGCTCAAAATCAGAATGCTTCCCCAGTCTAAGTCGTTGTGTTTTTTGGGCTCTCCTTGCACTACTTTATGTGTTTCTGGTGTTGCACTGTTTGAGGGGCATGTGGCCTAAGATTTTCATTTGTACATACCTACACTAACTTTGCACAAATGACAATAAAAGCCTTGAATCTTGAATATGAAAGAAGGAAACCCTCTCTGATGCAACCACTATTTGCACCAAGCGTTCACTACTGTATATCTGCCCTTGTGTTGTTTTTCTTCTCACCAGATCCACAGGTGGCTCCAAAGGGTCCAGAGACAGGAAGTCAGCCACCAAGGAGGCGCATCCCTCCCAGGCGAAAATTTCGGGGAAGACTGTCGGTGTGGGCCGGAGAGTCATGGACACAAACTTCTGAATATTAGAAAAACATACGCAGGAATTAGACAGAGCTATATACAGTCAAGTATATGGACGGGACAATGTGGAAAGGAATTGCGGATTGTGATAATGGATGAGTTGATCGTGGTGAATTTATATTACCGGGATGATATTGATATCTAATAAATTACTAGAACAAGTTCGGTAAATTGCTATTAAAATAAAAATAAATCTTAACAACATTTAAGGTTAAGTGCTTCTAGTAAGAGTTTCAAGCATAGTGTGATGATTATCAGGATACTACTGTACTTCGTAATTTTTGACGGAAATACAATTTTCATATTGCCCCATGCCTAGTTTATGGGTTGTTTGAAGATGTAACGAACAGGTGGCTGATGATGCAAAAAATATGTTGAGTTATGTGGACACAGGGCCTTAAGTGGATTTAGCCTTTTCAGTTTTACCCTGACTCCACATTCGTTGACCGGGCAGAGCAGCAGGGGTTTGCGGTCGGGATACAGGAGTGAATACTGACGCTGGAAGTTGTCGGCGATGGCCAGCAGTCGGATCTGGTCGGGGGAGTTAACCCTGTAGGACTCTGGACACAGCTCGTCCACCTTCAGGCTGATGAAGGACAGGGAATACATGACGTTTCATTTTTTTATTTGTTCCGTTCATGGTATGCACAACTTCATGTATAACAATTATTTACAAAACATGTCTCTATAAACACACCATACCCGAAAAGGAGCAGGTGACATAAATGACATTTTTTTACCAACCATTAAATACCTTGATGCAACATCATGCTTTCATTACATCTACCCATCACCTTACCAGGGATTGTTTTCTAATTTGATAGTCTATATACCTTGTTTGAATGTGTTTGTAAATTACATCTTGTGATGGAAACTTCTAAAGCAATGGAGAGAAGAGACTCAGAGAGACACGAGGAGAGCAGGGACTTTGATGGCAAACACTGATGGTTCATTTGGAGCTTGGGCCGGAGAATTCACAAGACATGTCGTGTGCCACGAGTTGACACAGCGGTTGCCAAATCAATTCTGACGATCTCTACCCCAGACCCATGTATTTAGCTGGTTCTGAGAGAATAATCAACATTGTGCATAACAAGGTAAAATAGGCAAAGCACAATAACACCTCTATCAGCTGACGCCAACAGGCAGGGACAGGGAGACAGAACACTGAGAGCAGAGCAGCCAAGGCTACAGGTGCCTGTGCTCAGTGAGGGCAGGACAGACTGATCACCTGGGTCAAAGTTATGGGCCTAGGAAAATATTTCCCCAACACATCTCTTGAGTGAAAAGTGCACTTAAAATAAAGTGTATTAGCCTACTATAAAATACTTTTTAGTAAAATGGAACTTACAAACTACTTACAATTGATCATCAAAAGCAAATTACTAATTGTTTCAGCCATAAATGTATGAATATATATATTAAATGCAACAATTAGTAGTTCATTAGTCACCTAACGGCGCAGTTTCCTCACTTTTTACCCCGAGTCATCATGGTCTCATCCAGTGTGTGATATGTGTGAGTGTGTGTTGTGTGTTGTAAGTGGACACTCACTGAAGCTCCTGAGAAACACTTTTCTTCATCGGCTCTGGGTCATCCTCCTCCTCCTCTTCTGTCTCTCCACCTCTGCCCTGCTCCTCACTGTCTGACTCCACTACAGTCTCCATCTTTTGTAGGAGCGTTAATATCAAGTATACACAAACAGACGGAAAAGCCAGTCAGAAACAAAGACATTATCATCAAACACAATAGAAGCTTATGATGATTTCTTTGTATTGTCCTCTCGCCTACAGAGAACTTGCATCATGTGTTTGTCACCACAAAGAACGTTTGTATTCTGTAACCTTTAAACTGCATTGAACAGGAATTGTGCTCCTAATTATATGTATTCTATACAATGACATATGATAATATACAACAGATAAAACATGTCAAATGCAATTCTGAATGACCATTCCACTTAGTTGCAGTATTATCCGTAATAAACATTATATATATGATATGTTTTATAATGATTGATCATTAAAGTGTTCTCAAAGCTGGTAAAGGTGCAGTTAGTTTGAATGACTTTGTATACTGCAGGGTAGCTTGTGAATTTACTCCAGGTGGAACTAAAGTCTGATTTAAGTGTTGATTTGAATTATTAAACCAAATCTGCAAAGTAACTATAAGTAATAAATAAATGCAGCGTAGTAAAAGTACAAAGTAACAAAACATTGAAATGCTCAAGTAAAGTTCAAATACAGTATTTGGCTAAATGTACTAAATTACTTTACAGCGAAATGTTTTTGCAACACTTTTTGCTGCATATTAGTGTTTTATGTTTTACAGATACTTCAAAATAACTTAATGTGCTTTGACACAATGAGGTCCATCTTAACTTACTACTTAATTAATGAAGACATTAACACCAGCGGGAACAATCAACGGTAACTTTAATACACCTTTGGAGTTTTGCAATTTGAATTAGGCTAACGTTAGCTTCAGTGGTGTAATGTTACTAATTACATTGACTCAAGTACTGTCTTATTTTAAAGTAGTTTTATAGCAGCAGTATATTATTTTTAAACTGTAAAAGTATTGCTACTTTTACTAAAGTAAATTATCTGATCATTCTTCCACCTCTAGCTAGTGTTACAATAACAATGAGCTCTACTGTTAATGTAACATAAGGGATACATGAGTAACTTAAGAAAAACGATTCAAATATACAGTGTAATAGAATAAATAAAGTATTTTAAGTCATACTCATCCCGTCGTACAGAAATAAAAACGGCTTAGTTGGAGTCTCTCTTCTGTGTAGCTAACTAACTTCAGTTGTGACTGCTCCGTGTCCACGGTAACAGCCATGCGTGATGATGACGTAAAGACGCCTTACGTTACGTGATCTCTCTAAACATGAAACTGGACAGACGATACAACTTCAGGAGGAGGACATTTTAAATGTGATTTTTAATACATTATATAATGTATGATCCATCAATATTTGTTCTTTAAATGTATTTCTTTATACAGTATATATGTTTGTTTTCACTTTTCTGTACTGTATCTGTACCTATATGCCCCTGATGTGATGTCAAGGTGTTGTGTGTATAATGTTTGATGTAAATGTATATTAATCAGGGAAATAACCATTCTGGCCAATAACCAATACCAGACAATAATCCAACCATGT